TTCAGCGTTGGCTTGGGCTGCTCAGCGAGGCTGAAAGGGTTGGTGGGGGACGGCGTGCTCAGACCTAGCAAAGGCAGGACAGGATATATCAGCTGCCCTCGCCATCCCCAGCCCTCCTCCTCCTCCTCCCCCTCCCACAAACACCCCTCAGCCCAGCCCAGGGCAGCCCCCCCGGCCAGCAGCCCACACTGCAGCCCCAGCACCTACCCGAGAGAAAGGGATTGCGTGTCTTGGAGGCTGGTGCAGGTGCGACCAGGGAGTCCAGGTTGACCAGGGAAGAGGCAGCAGGGCCGAGGAAGGCCTCAGGGGTTTTACAGTCCTTCCGCTCCTTGCCGGATTCAGGGAGGGAGTCAGCCAGGTTGCTGAGGTCAAAGTTCTTTGCCCCCTCCTGCTTGGTGCTGGGGAACAGGTCACTAAAGGGGTCCATCTCTGGGATGGAGGTGGGAAATGAGCTCTGTGAGCCAGACAGAGGACACCAAAGGTGATAGCATCCCCCCATGACCACACAGGGTGGCTAACAGCATGTTGCACACCCAAGGCAATAGCTCGATGTGGCAGGGCTGAGGCTGTGGCATGGCATGTCCAAGCTCACCCCCCAAGCCACCACAGCAGGCAGCCAGGCTGGAGACGTGGGTGCACGCAAAGACCAGAGCTGTCCCCTTGGCTACGGGGCAGCCCAAGCCCACAGCACACGTGGCTGCACATGGGGACAAGCTTTGGCCATGCCAGCGAGCAGCCACGCACAGCCTGGCCAGCCCTGGAGCTGCCTCCCTGCAACAGGCAGGGACGGGTTCACTGTCCCCACCTGCCCAAACAGGACTCTGCAGCTCCCCCAGCTCTTACCAACGGGGCTGTTGGACTTGGCAGAGGAGGGTGGCTGCGAGGGCTCCTGCTCCGGCGGCTCGGCTGACCCAGGTGGTTTTGCAAACGGGTCGAAAGCGTCTCCCCCTGGAGCTGGGGGAAGAGGGGAGACTCAAGGAGGGGAGCAAGCGGGGAGGTGAGAGATAGGAGATGTACAGGCAGGAGAGAGGCAGGGGCAGCTGCCTGCAAGGAGACAGAGAGGAGGGTGTGGGGCAAGGGAACGGCGAGCTGGGGTCAGGAATGTGCACTGGCCTGAGGTGGGGCTGGGATAAGCTGGAGCAGGAGCCCAGTCTTGAGCAGGTAAAGCTAACCTGGGCAGCCCCTGTGCTGCCCTCAGCTGTCCACCTTCCCCCCCCCCCCAGCAGACAGGTCCCTTTCCTAGTCCCAGTGGGGACACGCAGAGGGGACAGGTCTGCAGGAACACTTTAACAGCCGGCACTGCCAGTGCAGGCAGGACCTCAGGAAGCACTGAGGAGGAACTGAGAGTGGCACTGAGCTCTGAAACACAGGCTGCTCCCACAACCACTTCCTCATCTGCAGCATGGCACCTGTGGGTTGCAACCGTCCTGTCTGGGCAGGGCATGTGGGGAGAGTGAACAAACAGGTATCACCAGGGACACACACATTGTCACCCCACTGCTGGAGCAGTGCAGCAGCTGCTATCTGCTCCCAGGGGAGGGCAACATTAACTGTGCCATGTTAATTAAAACAGCCTATTCTGCACAGAGATAAAGCCTCCCCCCTTCCTTGAAGTCTTCAGGACACAGAGGGACAAGTGAAGGTCCCACTGTGGGGCAGCAGAGTAGGGAGGGAGTGTTTGCAGAGCTGGCTGAGGGAGGAAGGGGGGGAGCACCCAGAATATGCCTGCTGACAGAAGGGCAGCGATGGCCAATGCCACCCATGATCCCCAGCAAAGCAGAAACACCGACCAAGCTTCTTACCAGGGTTGGGAGGTTGTTCTGCCACAGCAGCCCAAGGATCAGCAGCTGGTGTAGAACTAGAGGGCTGGGCTGGAGGGGATGCTGTTGCCCAGGGGTCTGCAGGAGGGAAGCCAGAAGACAAGGGCGCCTTCCCCCAAGGGTCAGAGGCAGCAGCAGTGGTGGTGCCAGGGGGAAAATCCCACGGCCCAGCGGAGTTTTGCTGGGAAGAGGTGCTTGCCTGGGAGAGTGGCTCCCCACCGGCATCAGGGACCGGCACCCAGGGGTCAGCTGCCCCAGCCCAGGCAGAGGCTGCTGGCTCTGCTTTGGGCTTCATATCTGAAAGAAGAAGGAAAACTGTGGGAGAAGGGGACAGTTGCGGGGTGCAGAGGGATGCTGAGTGGTGGGGATGTGCCCAGGGGTCCCCAGATTCCAGCAGTACTGCCTGGGTGTGCAAGGGACCAGGCAGCAGAAGGCAGAGTAGCAAGAGGTTGTTGTTGCTCCTAGGAAGCTCCTGTTGAGCCCCTGGGAACTGGGGATGGGCAGAGGTGAGGGGAGAAGTTCCTACCACTGTCCCAAATTTTGGCAGCCTGCAAGTTGCACTCACCTGGCATATCCCATGGGTCAGCAGACGTGTGGCTGGACGGGGCTGGGGCTGGCCCAAATATATCTGCCAGTTCCAGGATAGAGGACTGCAAACACAAAGGGAACAAAGAAGTAAGGGAGGCCCAGGCCAAACCAGTGGCATGTCCCTGAAGCCCCAGGCTGACTGTGTGGCCATCCAGGCCCCTAGTGCTGTACCTGGCTTTTCTTCATCTTTTCTTCTTCCTCCTCTTCCTCCCCACCCTGGGCACTCTCCTCCACAGCTCTCTGCAGCAGGGAGTTCTCTCCTTGCCAAGTCCTCACCTCCTGCGGGGACAAGGGATGTGGCCTGTGAGCTCAGCAGCCCTGCAGCCAGCACTTCCTCCAGGAGACAGACCCAGCGCAGGAGCCACCACCGCATCCCCAGAAAGTCCCAGCATCCGAGCAGATGGCTCCTCTGGGGCCGAGCCCGCCGGGAGAGCGCTCAGCAGACAGCCCCGGAGCAGCGAAAGCAAAGCAGGTGCTGGAGTGAGGCAGCATTTTGGGCTCCAGTGCCCCGGAGAGAAGCCCAAGTGCAAGGAGAGAGGAGCTCCCGGGGCTGCGGGGCACAGCAGGTACCTTCTCGTGCTCCTCTTTGCTCAGCGCGAGCGCGAGCTGCAATTGCCTTTCTTCGTCTCTACTGGAAATTGGAGGAAGTGGCTTCTGCCAACAGAGGAAATTGGGTGACATTTCAGCTTGCCCTCAGCTTGTGGGACTGATGAGAGGTCCCTGTCCTCACCACCACCTCTTCTGCAGCCCCCTGCCTGCCTGCACAGCACCTCTGTGCCCAGCCAGCCAGCTTTGCCTGCAGACCCCCCAGCCTGGTGCCCCTTATGCTCTTGAACCTGCTCCCACTCAGGATGCCCTGTGGCCACTGCCCCAGCTCCTTCCCCTGCCCCATCACCTGCCACTGATCTAGGCTGGGACAACCCTAAGCTAGGCAGCCAGCATCTCCCCTGGGAGGTTTCTGAGGACTCTGAAGCAGTTGGTGGGGAGAGGGGATCGATCGGGTGTCCCCTCACCCTGGTAGCCTGGTGGGGAGGAGGGTTTATGACACTGACTGGCCCCGGTTCAGGAATCCTGTCTGGCCCTGCTTTGCTCTGGGAGAAGAGCCCAGACCTGAGGCAGATTTTGGGGAGACTGTCCTCATACAGCCATGGCAGCCCTAATCACCACCCCCATGATGATGTAGGACCAGCTGGGGGAAGAAATGGGGACCCTGGAGGGGGTGTGGATGTGCACTGCCTGTACCAGCATGTGCAAGTGTGCACATGCATGTGCAGCCCAGATGGACACCAACGCTTGCAAGAGCGTGTTCCTACAGTGCTCAACACAGCAGAGTGTGGAAACTATAAATACTCCAATTCCAGGACAAAAATAGGGATCTACACTCTGCTCCGTCTCCAAAAGGGCCCCCACCAGGCAGGGCAGATGGGCAGCAGGAAGCACCATCTCCAAAGCACATCCCCTGACCTGGCAGGACCAAGCTGGCAGAGCTCAGTGCCAGCCCTGAGAGATGCCCACCGACCTGGACACAGCCCCAAGGTCACCACGTCCCCCTGACTTGGTGTGCCTGGCCGTACCCACGTGCCCCGCACGGGCCGTGCCAGCCAGCGGGAATTGCAGCCGGTGCGCAAATAAGCTGTTCCTGGTGGAAAAGGGGGCATGGCCAGGAGATAGGAGAGGGGACAAGCCTGGGGGAGGTTTCATGACTGGGGACGGCAGCTCACTTGCTGCCTCCATCCCTGTCAGCTCCTCATGGTGCTGGTTTCCAGAGCTCCTTCCAGCCCAGTTTGAAAGGACCAGCTGGTGGGAAGGAGCACCCTGCCCCATCAAGTCCCCAGCCTTGTGCACAGCCCCAGGGAGGCTGCTGGCTCCTCACAGCACTGGGCCAGGTGGCACCTCCCAAACCCTCTGCAAAAAGGGAAGAGAAATGGAGGAGCTTAAACCAGAAGGCCTTAGCAGCCAGGTTTGGGGGCATTGCAGCAAAAGACCCTCCAAGTTCACCCTAGGGTCTGGAAGGCTGGACAGGTCTCAGCCTGGTGCTGTCCCAGCTGGTACAAGGACAAGAAGCAGGGACAGTCTGTGCCTCCATCTGCCTGCTGGTGATTTTGAACGCCAGGCACAGAGCAAGCAGCCTGGTGTGGTTGCAGGTGCATGCACCGACCTTGGGCAGCTCCTAAAATCCTCCCTCTTCCCAAGGGAATGACCCACCATGCCTGCAGTCAAGGCAAGGTGCAGGGAGATGTCACCCTACCTTCTCTGCCTCCTCCCGACTCATGGCCAGTGCAAGCTGCAGCTGCAGCTCCTCCTCACCCGTTGTCTGGGGCCTTGCTTGCTCCAGGTCAGAGGCAAACCGTGGGGATGAGGATGATGCTGGGAGATAAAAGAGGAAAAGCAGAAGGAGCAATGTCAGGACTGGGGTATTTTGGGGAGCACATCAACAGCCCCAGGCCCCAACACCCAGAGCTCCACAACATGGCTTCCCCCAGGGACACAGCCCCAGATTAGAGTTCCCTACCATGAACAAGCAGTGGGTTTAAGACTCAAGGCACTGCCAGTTGCCATCACTGTTGGGGTTCACCACTGGCCCAGTCAAACCTCTGTCCATGGCTCAGGATGGAGCCACCACTCCCACAAAAAGTCAAGGGGAGCAATGGGCACCAGGTGGGTGCACACAAAACCCAACACCTGCTTCCACCCCGCAGTGAGCCCAAGTGAGCTGCCAGCCCCACGAGTGAGCCCCCAGACCCTGCTGGTGGCACTCACAGTTAAAGGAGGAGGGTGAGCCCCGTGCCCGGCCGTAATCTTCACCATAGGGTGACGCACGGCGGCCATAGGTGACCTGGTGGCTACCACTGCCCATGCCCTCCAGGGCCATGCGCTCCTTGGTCTGCAGCGCGTGCGCCCGCTCCTGCTTCAGCCGCTCCTCGTCCTTCAGCAGCGCCATCACCTGCTTCACCTTCTCTCGGATGTTGATGCCCTGGTCCTTGCCGTCACGGTCCACGTACTGGAAGTCCTTCAGAGTCTGGATGGTGTAGAGGTTCTCCCGGCACTGGTGGGTCACCTTCTCAGAGCCGGTTTTGATGAGGTAGTCCAGGAGGGTGAGGGCTTTGTAGACGTGACGCCAGTTCTTGCCGCTGTCGTTCAGCCGCCGCCAGATCATGCCCATGACCTCAGCGAAGGCCACCGTGTTGAAGGTCAGGTCAGCTATCTCCGACATCAGGGAGCTGGGGGGTCCCCAGGGATCATTGGAGGTGGCCTCCCGCACTTTGATCTCTGCCTCCGAGTAGTTGTGCACGATGTTCTTCACCTGCCGGCGCAGCGCCGAGGTCGTCATGGCTGCGCAGCGCCGGAGCCCCGCTGGCGGGCAGGAGCGGCGGAGGAGAGACGGGCGCTCGCAGCCACGGCCTCACCGGTGCCTGCAACAAGGACACAGAGACCTCAGCATCACCTCGACCCCTGAGACCCATCCCCAAAGCCCTCGGGCTGGCACCTGGGACGCTTCTCAAGGTGGAAGTGTCAGTCAGCAGGGTGTCAGGTGCACCGTGCCGGGCTGCCACAGCTGGCCAACCTGCAGACACGCAGGAAGCTCAAGGGGAATGAAATCTCCCAGCAAGCTGAAACCCAGCACTGCAGAGCTGCCGAGAGATTTGGCTCCAGATTCAGCAACATTTGGAGGAGATTTTTATCCTGCACTTCTGCTTCTAAAAGTAACCACCTGAAAATGGCAGCTCCCTCCTCCAGATCCCAGCTGCCTCCGCCCCATCATCCCAGCAAAGCTGGTTCTAGGCTCCCCAGCCTTTGGCCAGCCAGAGGCTTCCTGGTACCCCCAGATGTATCTGCAGCTACACACAGCTCTGCTTGCCCTGGCTGTAGCTCCAAGGCTCTCGGTGCCAACGAGGATGCACTGTGCAAAACCAACCCCCTGCCATGACTCAGAGCCTGCCACAAGTTACCAGCACTGGCAGCTGCCTGGGTGGGTTTCCCAGCAAACTTGATAATTTTGCTGCCACGGGAGGCTGCAGGTACAAAAGCATGTGCTAATGCAGGGTGATGAATTCAGGGTGCTCACCTCCAGCGCCAGGTCAGCAAGTGGGATGGATAACACCCCCCCCCCCTCCTAAAAATCCCCAAGCTGCCTGGGCCTTCTCTGGGACCTGCCCTGGTACCTCCAAAGCAGGCAGTGCCCATCCCTGGGACGTGCTGCACCTGACACGGTGCAAAATCATGTGGGTTGGTCTGGACCCATCTTCACGTGAGCCCACCACACCTCTGTGCTAGTCCTAACCCTCACCTTCTCTCTACGTGGTGGGAAGACACAATTTGTCCTCATTTTGTCAGAGGGCCAGGCAAAACCAGAAGGCAGAGGCTGCCTGGAGCTGCCTGGCCCTCAGCAGGGCTGCACTGCAGGGCTGGGGAGCCGAGCTGCTCCCAGAGCTCCCACTGCGGCTGCAACAAAACTCAGTGACAATTTTCTCCCCATCCGAGATAAGGCGAGCAGACGAGTATCACCCCCACGCAGCAGTGCCTGTGGAGGGTGATTACCCGTGTCCATCCCACCACCCACCTCACATGTCAGTACCTCCTGGACCGCAACAGCTGAGCCACGTCCAGCTCAGAGCACCCACTCCTTCCCAGCGGAGCAGAGCTGATGTGCCCGTGAGCCACGCACAGCGCCCGCCACGCTCCCGAACA